ATTTTGTCAGCAAGCAAGCAGCCCTCCAACTGAAACTGCCAGTGGAAGGCAGACTGCAACTTCAAGGGGCCGTAGTAAATGGGGAGAGAGTTCACAGCCCTGGGATCTGCCGGAATATCCAAATATAGGTTGAATCTGAACCGTTCTTCGCGGATTTATTTGTACTGCCTCTGGACGAGTTCGATATAGTGCTTGGAATCAAGTGGCTCATCACTCTCGGCCCTATCCTATGGGACTTCAGTGCTCTGACCATGACTTTCAACCTGCATGGGAAACAAGTCACATGGAAAGGAACCAAGGTGAGAGCGAAAAGACCACAGGTACATACTCTCCATGGCGACACCATGCACACCGCAGAGATGGAGAGACTTCTCGCTGACTTCCCGAACGTGATTTCAGACCTCAAGGGACTCCCACCTGTCAGATCGTGTGACCACCGGATCCCTTTAATTCCAGGATCAGAACCCGTCGTCGTCCGGCCATACCGCTACCCGCACCTGCAAAAATATGAGATAGAGAGCCAGTGTGCGGATATGTTGAAACAAGGAATTATCCGCCCCAGCCGCTCCCCCTTCTCCTCGCCAGTCCTACTGGTACCGAAACAAGACAACACCTGGAGGTTTTGTGTGGACTACAGGGAACTTAACAACAAAATCGTCAAGGACAAATTTCCGATTCCCGTGGTGGACAAACTGCTAGATGAACTCCACGGGTCTCAATACTTCTCTAAACTAGATCCCAGATTAGGGTACTTCCAGGTCCGGATGGCCCCTGATGATGTGGAAAAGACGGCCTTCCGGACACATCACGGCCACTTTGAATTTCTGGTCATGCCATTTGGTCTCACCAACGCTCCATCCACATTTCAGTCTTTGATGAACGAGGTTTTTCGACCCCACCTCCGCAGATCCGTCCTAGTATTTTTCGACGACATCCTGGTTTACAGTACATCATGGGTGGAGCACGTTCGTCACCTACGAACGATTCTGGAACTGCTGCGCCAACATAAACTCTTCCTGAAGCGGGCCAAATGTTCCTTTGGGAAGCGACAGGTCCTTTATCTGGGGCATATAATCAGCGGGAAAGGTGTCTCGATAGACGGTTCCAAGATTCAAGCAATTCGAGAGTGGCCCAAACCTCAATCCACTAGGGCTCTCCGCGGGTTCTTAGGACTCATCGGATACTACCGCAAGTTTGTAAAGGATTACAGACTCTTGGCTGCCCCATTAACCAAGATGCTGAAGAAGAACGCATTTCAATGGGATGAAGCAGCGGACGCAGCCTTCACAAACTTAAGAGATGCGCTCTCCTCCACCCCTGTGCTGTAACTACCCAACTTTGACCTAGAATTTACGGTGGAGTGTGATGCTTCTGGTATAGGCATTGGAGCAGTACTGCAACAACAAGAGCACCCCATAGCCTTCTTTAGCCGGAAATTAGCTGACCGGCACCTAAAGCTACCAGCCTACGAGCGCGAGCTGATAGGGCTTGCCAAAGTCGTCCAACACTGGAGGCCATACTTGTGGGGGAGACCTTTCGTCATCAAAACAGACCACTACAGCCTCAAGTACCTACTAGAGCAACGGCTTACCACTCCACCCCAACAGCATTGGGCAAGTAAACTGCTCGGGTTTGACTTCCGAGTAGACCACAAGGCAGGGGCTTCAAATCGGGCCGTGGATGCACTGTCCAGGCGTGACGAAGATGCTATACACCTTTGTGCAATCTCCCGGCCCCGCGTCGCCCTATTGGAAAGCATTAAGGACGTACTGCCCCAATCACCAGCATGGAGTGACCTGGTTCAAGAGATACAGTTGGGAGAACCCAAACCGAACTGGTCCATCCACGACGGCCTAGTACTATACAAGGGACGGGTATATCTTCCAACCGATTGTCCGTTAATTCCCACCGTCATCTCCAGCATCCATAACACCACACATGAAGGGGTTCAGAAGACATTGCACCGCGTTTGCACCGATTTTCATTGGCACGGTATGCGGGCCTCGATTCGGAATTTCATCCAGAATTGATCCATATGTCAGCAACAAAAATGGGAGAATTTACACCCGGCTGGCCTCCTCCAGCCTCTTTCACTTCCAACACAGATCTGGGCTGATATCTCCATGGACTTCATTGAGGGCCTGCCCAAGGTCGGCGGAAAATCAGTCTTATACGTGGTAGTGGATCGTTTTTCCAAGTATGCTCATTTTATCCCCTTAGCTCACCCATATAGCGCAGTTTCGGTGGCCCACATCTTCACACATGTTTTCCGCCTGCATGGGCTACCAAAGTCCATCATCAGTGACAGGGACCCGGTCTTTACCAGCACCTTCTGGAAGGAGCTCTTTCGATTGCAGGGTACGACTCTGTCTTTTTCATCCGCCTACCATCTGCAGACGGACGGGCAAACGGAGGTCGTGAACCGTACCATAGAGATGTACCTCCACTGTTTCGTGGGTGACTAGCCACGGCGTTGAGTAGACTGCCTCCCGTGGGCCGAATACTGCTACAACATGTCCTATCACTCCTCTCTTGGCATGACTCCATTCCAGGTTGTCTATGGCCGGGAACCCCCCCGCCTACTGTCCTACGAACCCGGTTCGACAAGGCTGAAAGAAGTCGATCGTAGTCTACAAGATCACGATGCCCTCCTGGCGGAAGTCACTTCCCGCCTACAGCAGGCTCAGACACGTATGAAGAGTGTCTACGATCAGCACCACAGAGAAGTAACCTTCGAGCCTGGACAATTCGTGTAGTTGAAGCTCCAACCCTATTGGCAACACTCTCTCAAAGGCAGATTTCCCCCTAAACTGACCCCCAAGTTTTACGGGCCCTTCAAGGTACTACGGCGAATCGGGAAAGTTGCATATCAGCTTGAGCTACCAGAGAATAGTAGGCTCCACGATACCTTCCATGTGTCCCTACTCAAGCCTTTTATAGGGAGTCCTCCTGATCAAGTACCTTCCCTACCCCCCTTGAAGGACGGCAGACCCATTCTCCAACCTCAGATTCTTGTCCGGTCACGCGTCAATCGGGGTACCTTCGAAGTCCTTGTGGAATGGAACGGACTACCATCAGCTGAGGCCACCTGGATTCCCTGGTCTGATCTTCACAACGCCTACCCAGATCTCGAGCTTGAGGACAAGCTCGTTGTCCAGGAGGGGTGTGATGTTATGGACACATTCGTTGGTAAGACTAACTGCCGTCGCCAGCAGCAGCACTGAGGAGGGGCCCACGCGACAGCTCACCAGGGGCCCACACTTATCTCTGGCCAACTCGCCACCAGCTTACCTTATCCCTTATCCCTTATCCCTTATCCCATCTATCCTTATCTTATCTCCTGTTCTTAGTAGGAGTTGTGTTACCATTAGAAGTAGGTAGTTTATTTCCCATAAGAAGTAGGAATTTGAGTTTGATTAGAGATAGATTATCCTAGCCTAGCCGAATACAATAAGGAACCCCCTCTTGTAATCTCCTATTTAAGGAGCTAGGAATTGAAATAAAGGTATTCGGTTTTCAATCAAGAAAGAGCTTAGGAGAGTTAGGGTGATCTCTTGAACAAATCACCCCTAGTTCGCCACCATAGGGTCTGTGCGCAAAGGGAGGGGCAAGGGAAAGCTAGGAGTTTTCCCCGTGGACCGACCCGTGACGAGATCTTACGCCCGGGCCCATTACAGTTTCACCACAAGGAAAACTAAAAGCGCAAGGGGCATTTTGCACCCAAGATGCGAGGTGCAAGGTGAGGCATGTGCCTTTTCAAAGCAAGACGCAAAATGCAAAAAAAAAAGCTAAAATTTTCAAAAATGCCAAAACATCAAAAAACAAAGAAAACAAACATAACATATGATACATAAACATAACATGTAAAACATATTTAAAATGAAAAATTAAAAATAAAATCAAGCATAACATATGAAACATATTCAAGCATGTAAAACTTAATATCTTTATTCTTTCCCCAGTTGCATTACTTCAAATAGCTAATGTGATATTAAACATTATGCATTCCTAATTCTACAAACCGTCTTTGACCAAGCCCCTCTAGGCAAGCCCAAACAAGTCTATATTTGGGACTTGAATTCTTAATATCTTTTATTAAGATGAACGGATGAGCAACATTAGCAAATATGGGGTTTAAGACCCTAATATGGATTTGTTTGTTCTTGCCTTGAAAGGTTTGGTTGAGGGTCCAGGGGCAGAGCCCCTAGCCTGGCCACTAGGTATAAAAAAACAAAAAGAAAATAAAAAACACAAATTTTTAAAAGGTGTGTGCCTGGGATGAAGCGCAAGGTGCACCAGGCACGTCTGCACGTGCCTTTTGAAAGTGTTGCGCCTGGGGGCTAGGTGAGTCACATACCTTAAAATGTGCCTCACCTATGCACCTAGTCACACCTGAGCCATGCCTTTTAAATCACTAGGTTAACTAGTTGGTGACCAAGTTAATGGTTTTTGTAGCAAAGCGGTTTGAGTTGAAACATACTCAAAAATCTGTTCAAGTGACAGGTCAATCAATCTGACTGTCCAATCAATCACAAGTTGAAGCATTGATATAAACTAATTGAAGCTAGGCCTTTAGGTTGAAAAGCAATAAATCCACCAGTACACCACGCTTTGATTACTTATCTTTGTTATATGGATTTTGAGAAGAACACTGAAATTATTATTACTATTATTATTGTTATTATTAAATTGTCATGTGCAGCGAACATGTTCATTTGCTAATCCTGTTAAAAAGCTGAGTACCAACTGAAGAAGCAAACAAATAGTTAGAGGTTACTGGTGTACCATCTTAAGTTGATGTTTTTCTGTATAACACAAAGGAAAAAGAATCTCTTATGCTAATGCAGGAATAACTGGATTCAAAAATAAATAGTGTTATTCTGTGCATATAATGAAAGTATGAAACTTTTCTTTCTATAGATCTCTCTATTTTCTTCTCTTATGGAACCTTCTACTGTTGGAAAAGTTTATGCCTGAATTTGGTTTTGGTGCATGTATAGATGCTGATTTATGAATTCATGCCAAATGGCACATTGAGGGATCACCTTTCTGGTAAGATTTATTGTTTTCTTCCTTACGTTGTATATTTGTTCATTCTTCCAACCATATTTGTGTTTTTTTATGAATGAGTAAGATTTTATTAAACCAGCAAATAAGAGAGTTACAGGCAATCCATGGAAAGGCACGAGGTACGACCTTTCCTTTAAAACTAGTTACAGAGTTATAAGTTCAAAAGAAATTACGCAGAAGCCCAAAATAAAGTAGCCCGAGAAACCCCTTGTTTTGCAAGTGAATCAGCCATTGAGTTTGCTGGTCTGCCTACCCACTGAACTCTGATTGTCATATTCCTTGTTAGTAGCCCCAGATCACGGAGTCCGGATCCTGCAACCAACCCACTATCACCTGGGAGTCCCCTTCAATAATTAGATGCTCTATTCCTAGCTGATTTGCAAGCTGGATTCCTTGCACAGCAGCAAGTAATTCGGCCCTTATAGAGTCTCCCACACCTGCAGGACCTGAATACAAAGATATAATACTACTGTCTCTGTTTCTCAGCACTCCTCCTATACCTGAAGGTCC